ATAGCATTTTCTCTCATATAAAAAGTTTGAATTATAATTTAAATTGTGAAAAGAACACAGTAAGGCCATTACCGAATCTTAAGGTTATGAGTATAATTTTTCTAATTTTTAAAAGAGAAAAATCTCAGTTGGAGCATTATTGAACAAAGAATAATCTCGGTGGAGCATAGTTGAACATTTTTAGAATATATAAATAAATTTTAATAGTGAAAACTGCTAATGACGAGGACGAGAAAAATCAATTGGGGGGTTTTTTTTTTTTTTTAACAGCTGGGAATGGGAAAATTGAACTCTAAATCCCTATATTAGAATTAACTATAAAATAATTCCTAGGAAATCCCTATAATAGAATTAAGTATAAATAATTCTTAGGCTATATGATTGCAGCCACAAAAATCAACTAAGTTTTAAGTTATTCAATTCCGTATTGACAATAATAATATTACCAAAATCATCCATTAACATGTATGTTTTTATTTTTATCAACTCAAAAGTTGACTGTTATTTCAGTTTGATGACCAAAATTAAGTTTACTTCCCCATCCGCAAATAAGTCAGGATCTTCATAACCATTTTTGAGGCTTTAATTAGTAGATATATAATGAAGAAAAATAAAATTTCTAACATATTTAAATCTTGACAACATTTATAGGCACTTATTTGGCGACATTTATGATGTGGAGAATTTCTTGAATAACCTCATTGGCCTAATAAGAGTGACAAGAGATGTGCCAACTGAAGTACCCACGGAAAAACTTGCATTTGTTAGGGTTCCAAGCAGAGTTTCTAATGACCAAATTGAGGCAATAATTGCACCTTTATTCAGAAAAAGAAGAATTCTTCATCTAACCATAGAATGCCCTTCTACAAATATGATTATAGAAGAAGAAATAAACAAGAAATTTGGATTCACTTTCATGTTTCACAATGTTTGGAACTCTTCAATTGGAACCAAAGGTTAAGGAAGTGGTGGATTTTTTGGTTGAGGCGCTAAAAACTTCAGTTGGAAGGCCAATAATGGGAAGTTTGTTGCGGTAAAATTAAGTGGTGAATATTGTGGGAAAACCGCAAGTTGTTATGGTGCAAAAGAAGTTGGTGAGTTTTTGAATAAGATTGGTTTTGAAAGAGATACCACTATTTATGTGACTCAAACTAGGGGGTACAAAGTGGATGCACTAAGAGAGATCTTCCCAAACGCATACACTAATGTAATAATAGCCTTTTTCTTTTTCTTTTGTTTCCTTTGTTTTCATCCACTAAATGTAAATATTAAAGTAGTTGAAAAAAATAGATCACATCATGGTAGTAAACAAAATTAATTACTAAGTAAAATGCAACCACCAAGGGTGGTGGCCTAACAGTAATGAAGTACCGTGGTAGGCTTGT